TCCTTAACAGAGGAGCACTGAGAAATATTTCAATGAAAAGCTGCACAAAGAGGAGGAGAGACTCTTAGCTCAGGTACCCTGATGATTCACACCATCAGACAAGCACTATGCAGCTGTTTAAACCTCACTGAAACACAGTGAGAAGAAATGGCTGAATCTTAGAGAAGCGCATTTTGGTGATTTCAGTGGTTGATATTCATGTGAAAGTCGAGATCACGTCTTCATTTTGGATGTGTTTAAACCTTTTACCGGCAATTATGTCACAGACACAGTTCACTGTTAATCTCCTGTCAGAGCACATTAGAAATGGCTGGTAGGCTGTAGAGCGACATACTGGAGCAAAAACACTCCTGGATCTAAATCATCTGTTACAGCACTGACTAAGATACCTGATAAAAACTGAGGTAGTCAAAATGTCAACCATCTGATTTATATACATTTATATTATGGTATGTAGTTTCACAGGGAAAAAATACATCACTCTCGCTCGAAGAAGAAATAACTAACTAACTAATTAAATAAATAAATAAATGAAGTAACACTGTTTTCAAATGTTATTAATATTTCTATGTACCTGACACATTTACATAATCCTGTACATAAAAAAAACTGTGTATATGTAATACCTGTGTACAATACAGTGGGGCAAAAAAGTATTTAGTCAGCCACTGATTGTGCAAGTTCTCCTACTTAGAAAGATGAGAGAGGTCTGTAATTTTCATCATAGGTACACTTCAACTACGAGAGACAAAATGAGAAAAAAACATCCAGGAAATCACTTTGTAGGATTTTTAAAGAATTTATTTGTAAATTATGGTGGAAAATAAGTATTTGGTCACCCACAAACAAGCAAGATTTCTGGCTCTCACAGACCTGTAACTTCTTCTTTAAGAAGCTCTTCTGTCCTCCACTCGTTACCTGTATTAATGGCACCTGTTTGACCTTGTTATCTGTATAAAAGACACCTGTCCACAGCCTCAAACAGTCAGACTCCAAACTCAACCATGGCCAAGACCAAAGAGCTGTCGAAGGACACCAGGAAGAAAATTGTAGACCTGCACCAGGCTGGGAAGAGTGAATCTACAATAGGCAAGCAGGTTGGTGTGAATAAATCAACTGTGGGAGCAATTGTAAGAAAATGGAAGACATACAAGACCATTGATAATCTCCCTCGATCTGGGGCCCCACGCATGATCTCATCCCGTGGGGTCAAAATGATCATGAGAACGGTGAGCAAAAATCCCAGAACTACACGGAGGGACCTGATGAATGACCTGCAGAGAGCTGGGACCAAAGTAACAAAGGCTACCATCAGTAATACACTACGCCGAGAGGGACTCAGTGCCAGGTGTGTCCCCCTGCTTAAGCCAGTACATGTCCAGGCCCGTCTGAAGTTTGCCAGAGAGCATATGGATGATCCAGAAGAGGATTGGGAGAATATCATGTGGTCAGATGAAACCAAAATAGAACTTTTTGCTAAAAACTCAACTCGTCGTCTTTGGAGGAAGAAGAATGCTGAGTTGCATCCCAAGAACACCATACCTACTGTGAAGCATGGGGGTGGAAACATCATGCTTTGGGGCTGTTTTTCTGCAAAGGGGACAGGATGACTGATCCGTGTTAAGGGAAGAATGAACGGGGCCATGTATCGTGAGATTTTAAGCCAAAACCTCTTTCCGTCAGTGAGAGCATTGAAGATGGAACGTGGCTGGGTCTTCCAGCATGACAATGATCCCAAACACACCGCTCGGGCAACGAAGGAGTGGCTCTGTAAAAAGCATTTCAAGGTCCTGGAGTGGCCTAGCCAGTCTCCAGACCTCAACCACATAGAAAATTTGTGAAGGGAGTTGAAAGTCCGTGTTGCCCAGCGACAGCCCCAAAACATCACTGCTTTAGAGGAGATCTGCATGGAGTAATGGGCCAAAATACCAGCTACAGTGTGTTCAAACCTGGTGAAGACTTACAGGAAATGTTTGACCTCTGTCATTGCCAACAAAGGTTATGTTACAAAGTATTGAGTTGAACTTTTGTTATTGACCAAATACTTATTTTCCACCATAATTTACAAATAAATTCTTTAAAAATCCTACAAAGTGATTTCCTGGATTTTTTTTTCTCATTTTGTCTCTCGTAGTTGAAGTGTACTTATGATGAAAATGACAGACCTCTCTCATCTTTCTAAGTAGGAGAACTTGCACAATCAGTGGCTGACTAAATACTTTTTTGCCCCATTGTATATGTAAAAAAAAGGTATTTGTGTTTACTTATACTTCCGAGTAAGTGTATTTATATACATATAGACATATTAATATTTACACATATATATTAACAGTCACCGTTCTATGTGAAATCTGACCTTCTTCAGTAGCAGGTTACAGTTACTTTCAGTTTCGTTTCAGTGCGTCACCTGATCACATGCTGAAAATCGCCCTCTAGTGGTAAATAAGTGGAACATCCCGAGGTGCTCCATTAAGACTGTGTCTGCAGCCTGTACTTTTTTCTCTCTCTCTTCCTTCCTCTCTCTCTTTATCTCTTCCTAGCCTAAGCACATAAATAGTTTCCACATATTTAGAGGTCTCTCTCTCTCTCTCTCTCTCTCTCTCTCTCTCTCTCTCCACGTGTTTACAGTGCTCCTCTACACAAAATATAGAGATAAAGGGATTTATGTGCTTTAACCCTCTGTTTGAGTCTCGTGACTGGGTTCAACATCAGCTCGTCTCACATTTCCCTTTAGTTTAATCCACCACTGAGCTGAATTAAAGAAGCCATACATACAGACACTCAAAATCTCCTGAGTCACACGAGCTTATTGTACATTACTGTATTTCATATTTAATGAAACCACTGTGTGAAATCCAGAGCGGTAAACCTGTAAACAGCCCCTCTTCACTGAGGGTGTCAGCTTAAAGTTACCTTCAGTTCTGTTTCTATTCAGCACCTGATCACTTGATCAATATCGCCATCTAGTGGTTAGGTGGAAGAAGCATCCTTCCCCCAGCAGATCTCAGTTTAAACATGAGACATGCTGTCTCCAATACGGCTTGTTGACAGGATTTTTTTCTCTCTTATGAGAATTATTTATTCTCTCTTAATATTGTGTTTGATTTAGTTGGTTATTCACTGAAATATTTCCTCTGCTTTTAGATCTGTGCGTATTTTGAGCTTTATGCTCTTGTGAAGCTACTGTAGCGACTCAGAGATTAGACCAGCAACACATATTTAAGAACTACGCAAATGTGTTAGAAAAATATGATTAAAAGGAAAATTCATCATCATGGTGGTTCTCAATGGAGATTCTGTTAGATGAGATCACACCACACTCACTGTAGTTAGGAAAACTGCACCCATATATGGTGCAACTTTGCCATCTTTATTACTATTAAAATAATTATTTAAAACATTTGAACACACTGCTACAACCCTTAAGTAATTTGCCTATCAATTATCCAGTATATACAACAGTGATAAGCATTCCCTCTATATTCATTTAATACACCAGTACTTTTGGCGGCACCTTTGGTGTCTCCTTCTGGAACTGCTCTTGAGAATTTTTTCTGTTTACTGCCCCCCAACAGTGAAATTAAATATCCGCCCACCCTAAAACCTCATTCACTGTAATGAATTTCACTTCCACAACCAGATATTTCAGCCATAATCTCAAAATACAGCGCTGAGGAGAAAACAAGGTGGATATGACTTTATAAAGTGTCTGATAGAGCTAATAAACACGCCCCTCTAAAGCGCTGCAGGTCTGATTGCTGCTGGTCAAACAGCGCTACTGCACATCACCACGCCTTTTGCAGTATTAGTGCTTTATCAGCTCAATGTTCCTCATAAACAGTAATGCGCTCTGAAAACACACAGCTATCAGCGTTAAATACGACTATATCTGTATTCGCCGCTCAGTTTACAGCGTTTATACATTCAGACCTTCACTCAAACACACTCTCGGCCCACTGACCAGATGTTTGTCACAGCTGAAAGACCAGTTTAGTATCTGTGAAACACATAAAATCGTGCTCACGTTTTAAACTACATGCAGAAATTCCTCATTTCTGTCAGTTAACTGAACAGTTCACCGAGTGAATCCAAAGCGCTGGTATCTGAACTCTTCTCTCTGTTTGTAACGGCGTCAGATTAAAGTTGCTTCCGGTTTTTCTCTCAGTGCCTCACCCCTCCTTTCACCAGTCTCTGTTCCTCTTCCTTTCTGAGATCAACAGTGACACAGTAGCGAGATCACTTTGCCACCTGTATTACAATTAAAATAATTATTTAAATCATTTGAACATGCTGCTACAACCCTTAAATAATTTGCCTATCAATTATACAGTATATACAGCAGTAATAAGCATTCATTCTATATTCATTTAATACAACAGTACTTTTGTATTAAACACCTTTGGTGTCTCCTTCTGGAACTGCTCTTGAGAATGTTTTCTGTTTACTGCCCCCCAACAGTGAAATGAAATATCCACCCACCCTAAAACCTCATTCACTGTAATGAATTTCACTTCCACAACCAGATATTTCAGCCATAATCTCAAAATACAGCGCTCAGGAGAAAACAAGGTGGATATGACTTTATAAAGTCTCTGATAGAGCTAATAAACACGCCCCTCTAAAGCGCTGCAGGTCTGTCCCTCTGCTGGTCAAACAGCGCTACTGCACATCACCACGCCTTTTACAGTATTAGTGCTTTATCAGCTCAATGTTCCTCATAAACAGTAATGGACTCTGAATTCAGACAAAACGCGCAGCTATCAGCGTTAAATACGACTATATCTGTATTCACCGCTCAGTTTACAGTGTTTTTAGACCTTCACCCAAACACACTCGGCCCTCTGGTCGGAAGTTCGTCTCGTGTGTCAGTGATCGGTCACTGAGTATCTGCTGTAGAGTAAATTTAATGAGTTGAGCTGAAAGACCAGTTTAGTATCTGTGAAACTCATAAAAACGTGCTCTTGTTTTAAACTACATGCAGAAATTCCTCATTAACTTACCGAGTGAATCCAAAGCGCTGATGTCTGAACTCTTCCCTCTGTTTGTAATGGCGTCAGATTAAAGTTGCTTTCGGTTTCTCTCTCACTGCCTCACCCCTCCCCCCTTCACCAGTCTCTGCTTCACTTCCTTTCCGAGAAGATCAACAGCGATACAGTAGCGAGTTGGGATCACTGTCCATCACTAAAGACATGCGATTACCACATGAAATGAAAGTAACATTACATTAGAAGCAGTTTGTTTGTTTACTATATTGAAAAGCCCATAACAGTAAAGTATCAACATTTTTAAATAACAGTCATTTAAGTTCATCTAAAAGGGGCTCCCACCTTCTTGCCAGACCCCCAGAATGTTATACCATCTGGTCAGTGCCTCCAGGCTGGTGATGAAACATCTACATGCTTAAGTTTAATTTATACATTATCTAAATGTATGAATAAAACATAAATTATATAAAGTATGAATTATATAAATGATGCTGTAGCAGACCTAATATTAACTGGAAAACACATTACTTTTGTGTGATGTTTATTTTAAGTATGTACACAACTTTCACTGTATAAAATAACTATAAATATCTCATCCCCCACTTTAAACGCCTTTGATCTAAGACAGTTAATTGACAGACCTATCCAGTGCGAGTCTTGATGAGGACAAACTGTGATTGTGTTTTCCAGTAGAGAGTCTGCAGATGTTGAGGCTGCCCAGACTAAAGCAAGCAGCCAGGATTTAGAGAGGAGGGTCAGACAGTTCAAATGCCATCAACCCTGAAAGTTCTTTGTTAGACCAAACAGGCACTGAACCAACAGCTGGTGCTGTAAATACACAGTATGTTTCCACTAAACAAGGCCAAATACAGCTTCACACAGTTCTTTAGGCAAGTTTTCCAGGAAAAAATTGTATAAACTAAGTTCATTTAAATCTGTTGCACTATAACTGCAGATTCTTGGTTCAGAGAGTGAGGAGAACTTGGAAAAATGTGAAAACCTACTGATGCTAGCTGGATGTCTGAGAAACATCACACTTGACAACACAAAGGAAGTTATACAAGATGTCATGGTAACACTTTATTTGGATGGTCCACTGTAGATGCTTTGCAGATGCTCAGTCTGTCTTTAACTAACATTTAACTAATTATCTACTAAATGTAACTGAACTTGAAGTTGTGTGTTAAGTGTTCTATGAGATCTAACCATAACCATAAACCTGACCCTACCCTAACCGCAAGGCAAAACCTACACCTACTCCTAGACCCAACGCTAACCTTAATGTTATTAATAATCAACCAATATCACCAGAAAGTTTGGTAAATCATCTATAGGGGACCATCCAAATAAAGTGTGACCGACATCATCAACTGGTATGTCCTTCAGAGAACAAGGACACAGTTTGAAAAGAAGGATATATTCTTGTTGTCCAAAAATTCAGTTTATAATGTGTGGGTATTTTTTAATGTGTAATTTTTAAAACATTGGAATATGTTGTCTGTTCAGGTTCAAAGATGGACTTCATTCCTTTAGCCTTCTGGATGCAATACAGTCACATCAAAGCAGCTTCAAGCCAGTATTTACAAAGAGTGACCAGGAGCCGACAGCTGAGACTGTTGAACAGCTGTTCAAAGAGGAACATTCTCAGCCTGGGAGCAACAGATATGAAATGAAGCTATATCCACTGGAAAGATGATCTCTTAGATGCTGAGAACATGTGATAACGGCCGAGCAGTTAAACTCTCATTAAAACTCTGTACCGGTGTTCGGTGTGAGACACTGAGCTAACTATGCTAACTATGCTAACTAATAACGGCCGAGAGGTTAAACTCTCATTAAAACTCTGTACCAGTGTTCGGTGTGAGACACTGAGCTAACTATGCTAACTAATAAGTTTTCTTATTATTTCTTATTATTCTTATGATATTCTTATATAGTATTCTTAAATAGTATTCTTA